CTTGTTTCTTCTGCTATAGAATATTTGACTTCGACGCCGGTGAGTCTTTAACCTGGGTTTTTTTCTTTCGTGCCTTCATGGAAAAGGAATTCTTAGGTTATGATGTTTGGGGTTCTTAATTTTAGTCTCAATGTGATTCAATTGTTTTGGGGAATTTTATTCAGTTAACCGTTGAAGTAATCGCCAAAGTTTTCACTGAATTTGGGTTTGATTCTTGTTATATTGATCAGCTCATAGAAATTAATGGAGTGATGATCAAACATTGGTTATGTAGAGGAGTGAGTTTTATTGATCAATTTAATTTTGATGCATCTACTGGGAAAAATGTCTGATTCATATGTCATTTTTGATGATGGGTTCGGAAATTTTTGCAAAGAAAACTGCATTTGATTATAGATTTTGTGCGTATAGATGACTCTTAGGCTACAGATTCTTGTTCATGAATTTCTTAACTATTTTCATTGAAATCTTTCGATACCCAGTACCAAGTTGAGTTGCTATGATTTGATTTTCCTCTGTTATAGAACTGTATCTTTTTTTGCTCTTTCATGATTCTGTTACTAATAAATCACAGGAAATTGTGGAGTTTTTGGTATGTGCGAATGAATATTCTTCCTACATATTTGTGTGACGTTAGAAATGAATTCCCAAGCAGAAGTAGAGCAATGGGAAGCTCTTGACCTTGGTGATTCTGAGCTCCCGTCTTTTCTTCGCCCTTGCAAACGCAAATCTCCATCAAAGTCGCTACAACAGAATCCAAAGGCGGGTTTTAATAGTAACACAAATCACCATCAGACTCTTCGCCGCTGCTCTTTACCGGACCATTCTGTTGAAGACAGTTATTCCTGCTCCTTAATTCCAGGACCTGCTGGAACTGTTCAAGTTGCAATCCGCAGAAAGATGAATAAGGATCCAAGATCGTTCAATGAGCACNGAGAACCAATTCCAACTCAAGAGTTCATACGTAAGGCTGCTGCTGAAGAGCCTTATTGGGAAGACAAGGATTTCTCTGAGGACCCGTGGGTCTCTGCTGTTGATTACGTTCAAAGTGAAGGTATAGTCTTTCTCTAGTGTTTGACACTTTTAGTTTCTGATGCAAACATTGTCAAATCCTTAGGGGTTTTTAGTTTTCCGTTTTGAATTTTTTTGGCAGGTTTGTTGAGCAAGGGTGGTGGTGCTATTGGGACACCAGTGAGCGAGATTAAGAGCGGATGTGGTAGTTGGGGTAAGGTCGATCAGGTATGAACAACCTACTCAATTTAGCTGTACCCTCTAGTCCTTTCCCAGTATATTAAGAGATGTAGTGACCACACTCTTATTTTCTGGTTAGAGCATAATTGAAATCTGCATCCTATGTTAGTCTCCTGATTTTGTGGTTGGCTTTTTCTCTATACTTGTTTTGAATATTCTGGAATAATGTCTTCACTGGATTTGTTGCTATTTGGTCGCAAGTTATCTGCAGAACTTGTAAAATAAATTGAGGCAGTAGAAAGTAAAATGCTGGATTTTTTTGTTAAGCCCACATGCTGATGCTCTCTTCATGATGCTCCATATGAATGCTTATATTTGCAACCAATAAATTGAAAAATTCTAATGACATACTGGACTTGTGGTTGGTCATTTACAGATCGTGGCAATCGTCAAAACTTGCACTCCAAATGGTTTAGGTGATGTCATGGTGACTCTGAAGGTAATATAAACATACCAGAAACTTATTACAATGTGAATAGTTTCCACTATTTGTCTTTGTCACGCACCATTTCTCATGTGTCTCATTTTTCTGTGTATTGTTGGTAGGATCCCACTGGAACAATCGATGCCAGCGTGCACAGGAAAGTTATATCTGAAAGTGAGTTTGGAAGGGATATACGAGTTGGTGCAGTGGTGATACTTAAGAAGGTCAGCTGTTTTTCTTAAACGAGCTTAAACAGATGTCATGGTCTTGAAGTTGCTAATTTGCTTCTCAGTTACTTATGGTATCAATGGAAATGGACTGAGATATAGCGTTTTGCAGGTTGCAGTCTGTGCTCCTTCACGTTCGTCTCGCTATCTTAACATAACACTGAAGAACATCTCCAAGGTAATTTTCTTATGATATCAGATTGCACCTACTTACTCAATTGGAATAGATGAAGAATTCTTAAGGCGAGAGAGTTTCATTTACAGGTTATCACTAAGGATACTCCTGTTTTACCAAAGCAGAACCATTCTGATACGAGTGACAAGAATCCTGTTCCAGTGAACGGTATGTGATGAATTTTTGTTTTCCGAGTTTTTTTTTTCTCAAACTGATGGAGAAACTCAATCCTTTAACTTTGTCTTTTATATTATTAACAGAGAAAGAGGAATATTTGCGAAAGCAACCCAAAGTGTTTCCTGTGGAGCAAGGAACTACTCAAGGAATCATGAACAATCTAAGAAGACAAAATGGTAAAGAAAGCAGTGAAGCACTCATTGATGTAGAAATGAAAGAAACTAATGCAAGCAAAAATCAGTTTGAAGTTGGAATGGATCGGGCTCTCTTGGGAAAACGTGCTTCAATCAGCCAAACGGAAATTGCCACAAACAGAAGGACAACCTCAAACACTCAAGAACTGCAACTGCACGAAGATGTAGCTAATAATGGGAGCTATACAGCAGATGACTTCAGACCGGCGAAACAGATGCGTAAAAGTGGTGAGCAAGATACTGTAATGAAGAACTCTGATGAAGCTACTTCTGAATCCAAGGTCAACAAATCTCAGCCCATAGCGTCTTCTAGCTCGGTGCCACAGTGGACGGATGAACAACTTGAAGAACTCTTTGCCTTTGACTGAAATGGATAATTTTTGTTTTCTGTTGATGTAGGAGCAATTCCACTTTTGCAGATAGAGAGGATAGTGAAATAGGAAAGCTGTTACAGAAATGCTGAAACTATTGACATAATTTTCTTCTTTTTCTCCAACTAAACCACTACCTTTACTTACTGGTGTAAATATCAAAAGCATCTTTTTTTAACAAAATAGGCCTACTATACTCTTGACAGTGTTACAAAAACCAAAATTTGAATGTTGTCCAAAATCTTAATGCTGCAGAATCAGAAGAACAAGAAAAACTCTGTTGATGTATGAGCAATCACCTGTTTTCATTTTCATTGTGAATTACATTCAACATAGAAAAATCATACAATATCTGGTGAAATTGCAATTTTAAAATTAAAGAGATAATAAAGTAAGCCTTTGTTAATATAGAGGTCAAATTACAAATAGTCAAAACTTGAAAGACCTTTCTTCTCTTTTATCCACTCATTTCACTTCACCGGCAAAAAAACCCTCCTAAAACCTCACTCTCTGGTGAAGATCTTACCGGAGAGAGAGAGCCAGAAATGTCGTCTTCAAGGATTTTCCTAGTCGGAAACTCCATCCTCCGACCTCACAAACCCTCCTTTCCACTCACTTTCAATCGATTTCCCACTGTTTCTCTCCGCTTCCGATGCTTCTCCAGTGACCCCACCACCGTCGCCGTCGAATCCACCGTGGATTCAAATCTCCGATCTAAACCTCCTCATCCATGGCCAGAGTGGATTAATTTCGTCGATCGCTTGAAAACGAAAGGATATTTCACCAAAGACGTCGAAGATGATTTGGTTTATCAGGAAATGAATCTAGTTAAAGATGCTTGTCTCAGCTTCGCTCGCGATCGATACGACATTCTCAGGTATACAATAAACTCTCGAAAATTTCTCAATTCTTCAAATTGTTGCTCATGTTATTATAATTGCTCGTCTTCTGAATGCAGATCTTTATCATCTGGAGATATACAAGCTCTTGTGGAGCGTGGATGCCTTAATCTCTTTCGTAAAACTGTTAATTCTTCTAAAAGGATTCGTGCTCATGTTCGATTAGACGAAGGAGATGTATGTTGTATTAAGCTTTAAGATTGTTAAAAACCTTTGAATTAGAGAGATCTTACCTTATAAGAAATGTTTATTTTGTTTAGGTTTGTGGTTCTTGTGAGCTTCGTGGATCTTGTGATAGAGCTTATGTGATACTAAAGGACACGGAAGCTGATGCTCGTACGGTTGATGTTATGCGTTTACTGTTGTTTAATGCGCTTGATTCAGTTGTTGTCTCTGGAGGGGAAAGTCCACCTGGTAGAGAACTTGTTCATGAGTCTGCAAGAAGACTTCTTTTAGAGTTGGTTGAGTTCAGTGAGAAGCCTTTAAACCCTGTGTTGCCAAAACCTTCTTCCAAGGAACCTTTGATTCCGAAGGAGAGGGGTTTTAGATCGAGGAACGATGAGCCTTCTCAACGTGTTCGACCTCAGTACAGTGCTGATTGGGCTTGTCCTAAGTAAGTGATTTTTTAGAATGATTAGCTCTTGAGAAACTGAACTGATCCTGTATACACGTATGAATCCATTGTTAGTTTCCTAAGCTCTTAACTTCCAAGATCGTATTGTAACTGAGGTTGCAAAGATTCACTGAATATTCGAGATCTCTCCAATAATGTTGTCAGTTTCTTTGGATAAAGAGATTAGTGTTTTCTCTATAAATTTCTGACCGTTTTTGTGTGTTTTGTGTCTCTGTGTTCCTCTACAGATGCGACTTTCTAAATTTTGCTAGGAATGAAAGATGCCGAGAGTGCAATGAAGTCGCTGATAGAAGATCTGTTGCTGCTGTTGTCAAGGAAGGAGATTGGCTATGTCCTGAGTAAGTCTAAATCTGACACTTAGCTGTTTTTTCTCGGAATCAACAGTCTAAGAATTTTCTGCCAAACCATCATTAGTTATCCTTTCTTACTCCCACAGGTGCAATTTCTCAAACTTCTCAAGAAACCAGAGCTGTCTAAAATGCCAAGCAAAGGGACCAAAGAGAACTTCAACGAAGAATGTTGTTGAAATGAAAAAAGGAGACTGGAATTGCTCTGGGTAAGTTTCCCTTACCTGCCACTAAATTGTCTTCGTTCCGTCTATCTCTTTATGTTTATGATATGTCTGATAGAAGACTAGAAGCTTTAAGAGTCTTATCTTTTAAAGTTGTTTTG